TTCTGCTCTGATCTTGGTTATTTCCTTCCTTCTGCTTGCTCTGGGCTGTCTTTGTTGTTTTTCCTTGAGTTCTTGTAGACATAGAGTTAGGTTGTTTATTTGAAATGTTTCTATCTTTTCTAGGTAGGCCTGTATCACTATGAACTTCCTTCTCAGGACTGCCTTGGCTGTGTCCCATAAATTTTGGGTTGTTGTGAGTTCATTTTCATTTGTTTCCAGAAACTTTTTTATTTCTTCCCTTATTTCATTCTTGACCCATTCATTGTTTAATAGCATGCTATTCAATCTCCATTATTGTTAGTGTTTGGGTTTTTTTTCCTTCAGGTTGGTTTCTAGTTTCAGTCCCTTGAGGTCAGAGAAAAATGCTTGGTATAATTTCAATATTCTTAAATTTGTTGAAGCTTGCTTTATGTCCTATCATGTGGTCTATCTTTGAAAATGTTCCATGTGCATTTGAAAAGAATGTGTATTTTGCTTCTTTGGGATGAAGAGTTTTATATAAATCAGTTAAGTCCATTTCCTCTAGGGCACTGTTAAATGCCACAATATTTTTGTTGATATTTTGTTTGGAAGATCTGTCCATTTTTGACAGTGAGGTGTTAAAATCCCCTAGTATAATTGAGTTGCTGTCAATATCCTTCTTAAGGTCCTTTAAGATTTTCTTTATGTATTTGGGTGCTCCTATGTTGGGTGCATATATATTTACAATGTTTATGTCTTCTTGGTGGATTCTTCCCTTGAGTATTATGAAGTGACCTTCTGGTTCTCTTCTTCTGGCCCTTTTTTGGAAGTCTATTTTGTCTGATATGAGTATTGCTGCCCTGGCTTTTTTTTTTACTGTCCATTTGCTTGGAAAAATTGTTTCCAGCCCTTCACTTTTAGTCTGTGTAGATCTTTTGTCTTCAGGTGGGTCTCTTGTAAGCAACGTATGTGTGGGTCATGCTTTCTTACTCATTCAGCTATTCCATGTCTTTTGATTGGAGCATTTAATCCATTTACGTTTAAGGTTATTACTGATAGGTACTTATGCATTGCCATTTTCGTACTTGTGTTTCTCTCTCTCTCTCTCTCTCTCTCTCTTCCTTCTTTTCCTTAAAGCAGGTCCTTTAGCATCTCTTGCAGCACTGGTTTGGTGGAGATGTATTCTTTTAGACTTCTTTTGTCTGTGAAGCTTCTTATTTGACCTTCTGAGAACATTCTTTTAAACCTATAGCTAAATTCAAGAAAAAATTCTCACACTCCAGAAAAAAAAAAATGATGTCCAAAACAGAGTAGTGAAGAGGAGCTAAAGGTATATCCAACTTGACTAGTGGCTGACACTCCTGAAAGTTAAAAAAGACATGATTGCAGTCCATAATAGGTGGAAAAGGCAGCTAAATATCTCACACAAAACCAGAACCTCATAGAGGTGTCCCAACCCTGTAAAAAGGACTAGAAAACTTCTTCCCATCAACCCAGGGGAACATTAAGAGACCAAGTAATTCATTGGGAGCTGTAGATAATGGGGGCAGGGGGAGACATCAGTGGGAAATTAAATTATACAGTTGTATCATATGTGGATGTGGAATGTGAATGAATACCACTTAATATAAAGCAGGAACTCCAAGACAATAATTTTTTTAATTGCCTAGGTCAATAAGACCCAAAGGGTCTCAGAAGAAGCAAATGTAAAACCACTTTCCACAACCCCAACCATAGACACACCAGACACCCCAGAGGGAAAATACTCCATTAAAGATGAAATCACAGTAAAAAAATTAAAATGGCATAAGAAATGGCTCACAGGAGGAAAAGTAGCACTACCAAAAAGGAGAATTAACATCATAAACACTGGAGAGAATAGATGACTAAAAAAAGCTATAAAATAGATATGCTTAACATTAAAAATAAATAAAAATACAGAGAAGATACCTGTAGGAGTTAAGAAAGGAAAGGTTAGAGAAAATGGTGGGAGGGAGCACTATTCCAGTGGAGAATGGCTAAGAATAGTCCACATTCAGAAGAAATATGTCTTTCTAAAACTCATGACTCAAAGAAGAAAAAATAATAAAAATTAAAATTTAGAGCAAAATGGTAACAAAGATACCACATATCAAAACCTCTGGGATACAACTAAAGTAAGGCCTTTAGGGAAATTTATAGCTTACGATACTTACATCAGGAAAAAAGACTGAAAACTGATGAGCTAACTGTAACTTAATTTTTTTTAAAAAAAAGAAAAGAACCAAACAGTAAACTCAAAGAAAGCAGAAGGAACAGCAAACTCAAATAAGATAACAAAGATAAAAATCAGACAATAATGCATAACTGAAACAAATATTCCAAAAATTTATACAGAATCCAAAAAGAATCTTAAGAGCCTCAGAGATCTTGAGAGAAAAAAAGGACAAAGTTGCCAAAAACATGCTACCTGATATCACACTATACTATAAGGCCATAGTAATCAAAACAGCATGGAATTGACACTTCTCCAAGGAGGACATTCAGAGGGCCCAGTGACATATGAAAGGATGCTCAGCATCACTAGCCATCAGAGAGATGCAAATTAAAACCACAATGAGATACCACTTCAGACAAGTCAGAATGGCCATCATAAACAAATCAACAAACAAGGGCTGGTGAGGTTGTGGAGAAAAGGGAACCCTAGTACACTGTGGGTGGGAATACAGACTGGTGCAGCCACTGTGGAAAACAGTATGAATTTTCCTCAGAAAACTAAAAGTGAAACTGCTGTTTGGCCCGGCAATACGACTGCTGGGATTATACCCTAAGAACCCTGAAACACCATTCCATAGAACCTATGCACCCCAATGTTCATAGCCACACAATTTACAATACCCAAGTGCTGGAAGCAACCTAAAGGCCCATTAGTAAATAAATGGATCAAAAAAACAATGTACATTTACACAATGAAATATTACACAGCAGAAAGAAAGAAGGATCTCCTATCCTTGCAACAGCATGGAGGGAACTGGAGAGCATTAAGCTAAGTGAAATAAACCAGGCAGTGAAAGACAAATACCATATGATCTCACCTTTAAGTAGAACCTAATCAACAAAACAAACAAGCAAGCAAAATATAACCAAAGGCAGTGAAATTAAGAACAAATGGACAGTAACCAGAGGGGAGATGGGAGGGAATAATGAGGTGAAAAGCATGAAGGGTTTTCAGGAACAGCTATAAATGACAGATGGACAAACCAAGGTGGGGTGGAATCAGTGGAGGGAAGTGGAGATGTCTGGGGTGGGCTGGAGAGGTGGGGGGAAAGGGCAGACAACTGTACTTGCACAACAATAAAATTTAAAAACATGTAAAAAATATAAATTCCATGTTCCAAAAAATAAATACATAAAAATAATAAGAATAAAATTTTTAAAAGACTAACAAAATTAACAAGTCTCTAGTAAAACAAATGTTAAAAAACCAAAGTCAGAAATAAATATTATGAATAAAATGTTGACATAAGTACAATAAAGTAGACATTTAAAATAAGAGAATATCAACTGCCATATGCCAATAAATTTGAAAACTTAGATTAAAAAAAACTCTTAGAAAAGTGTAATTTGCCAAAACTGATGCAAAAATAAAATTTCCAAATATTCCTATAAATATCAAATAAATTAAAGAAGTAGTTAAAAACCTTCCCACTCAGTGAAAAAGAGTGTGGGGAGAAACATAAAATTTTATAGACATGTTCTACCAAACATTCAAAGAAGTTATCATTTTAATTGTATATAAAATTAATAAGGGGGGTATTCCCTCTTCTTCTATAGTCTCTAGTTTATTCTAGGAAGCTAGTATAACTTAATGTCCAAACCAGAGTAGGATACACAATAAAGAAAAACCATATGCCTATTTCACTTATGCATATTTATTCAGAAATCCTAAGCAAAATATTAGCAAAATCTAACAGTATATAAAAAAAGATAATACACCAATGACTAAGTCATTAGGTTTATCCAAGAATGCAAAGTATTTTAATATTAGAAGATACTTAAGGTTATTTACTCATCAATAGCTTAAAGAATAAAAATAATAGTATCATTCTAATTTATTATACAAAGTGGTACAGAAGATTTAAAAAGGCACCAAAATAAAATTCTAGAGTTGAAAACTAAACTGAAATAAATAATCTGATGGCTTTAACAGCCAGTAATACATAGCTGCTGGAGAAATTAGTAAACTGGATTACAGTTAAAAATAAATGAATACTCATTTATGTACATACATACAACCCCAAAAGAAGCATGAAAGGAAAATCACAGAAGAGAGGAGACATAAAGAATACATTGAGAAGGTCTAACATACATTTAACTAGAGCCCTTGAAAAGTGAGAAAATGGAACTGAAACAATATGTGACAAGATAATGGCCCCAATTGTTCTGAAACCAAATGAAGGGCTTAAATTCAGTTTCAAAATCTCAACAAATCCCAGGCAAGATAAAAAGAAATCTATACATAGGCATCTAAAAGCATTTCCAATCCATGCTATACTCCTGATTTGCCTGGGAAGGCTACGTGACCTGTCTGCACCTCAGTTTTGTTGATACACAATCATAACAAAATACAACCTATTTTATAGAGATGGTAAAATGATTAAATGAGATAACATGTGGAAAGTGCTTAATATGTTGCCTGATATGTACTTTTCTGTAATTGGCTGTAAATATTGGCTACTGTCATTTATCAACACTTTCCATACCAGGTTGAAATCCTGTTTACCTGGTTGTTAAGGTCGCTAAAGCAAGTTGTCTCCAACCACCACGACACCCTTTTGCACCCCAGCAGTGGGTGCACATTAGGAGATTCAGACATCTAGAAAGAGAAATTCCTCACCCTCTCCCATTACACCAGGCGCTGGGCTGGGAGTGGGGTGGAGGATCTTCAAGCTCCACCCTCACCCTCCCTGACCACGCCCAGTCACACCCACTCCTAAGGGCCTGAAGAGCAGTTGCCTAGCAGTGTGTGTTGCGCTGTAGCCCAGGCAGGTGGCCCAGCCATGCCCAAGAATGCGGTGGTCATCTTGCGCTATGGCCCATACAGCGCAGTTGGCCTGTCTGTGGAGCACCGCACGTTCCGCCTGGAGGGCCTGCAAGGTGGGCAGCCAAGCGCCAGAGGGCCACCAACACCAACCTGCGTGTGCCCAGGTATACCCTAGCTTCTGAGCATCTGTACAGGGTGTGCCTTCTGTCTAGATCTCCTTCCTTCCTCAGGCCCAGACCACATGCCACCTCTTTTGGAAAGTCTTCTCTAAGCCCTCAGCACCCTGGGATGATTGAGCATCTTCTTCTAGCTTCCCCTGTTTCAATATAGGAGTGGGAACAAAGCAAACATGTGAGCCCACTGGGTGCTGGAAAGTTTATGCAAGTCATCTGGATAGAAAGGATTACACACTCTGCTTTACACAGTGGGAAACTGAGGATCAGGAATAGTAAGTGAATTTTCAAGGTCATATTGCTGGCTGGAAAGTGGTGGGGTGTCTGTCCCCTGATCATTAATTCATGCAACATCCTTTTTTTGAGCAGCTAATATGTGTCAAACACTCCCCCAGTTACCTGGGACATACTAGTGAACAAAGATGTATGTACTTGAAGTGACTTTCTCATTGTTGACTACTAATTGACAGTATTGCTAAGACTCTGATAGAGAAACATAGTCATAGTGAGTCCCACGACTGGCCATAATTGGAGGGGAAGGGGAAAGATCTGGAAAGGTTTCTTATATTTGAGTTCAACTTTTAAAGAGTAAGCAGTAACTAACCAGGTAAAGAGAAGAAAGAGCATTCTAACTGAAGGGACTGATATCTGCAAAGGCAGCAAGCATGAATGAATGACGTGTTTGTTGAACTGATGGGAAGATGAGATTGGAGAGGTAGACAGGAACCAGATCCTGTAGGGCCATACGAAAGTTTTGCTGTTGTTTTTTTAAGATTCTTATTTATTTATTTTTACAGAAGAGAAGGGAGGGAGAAAGAAGGAGAGAAACTTCAATGTGTGGTTGCCTCTCAAGGACCCCTTACTGGGGACCTGGCTTACAACTCAGATGTGTGCCCTGACTGGGAATTGAACCAGTGACCCTTTGGTTCCCAGGCCTGTGCTCAATCCACTGAACCACATCAGCCAGAGAAGCCATATAAAAGTTTTAAGCAGGGGTATAAAACTGTGGCTGCTGTGAGAATAGATTAGAAGTGGTCAAGAATGGAAGCATGGAGACAAGTCAGGGAGCTATTGTAGTGGTCCATGGGAAAGATAATAGTAGCTTGTACCAGGACAGCCATAAAAGGGTGGTAGATGAAAGTAAAATAATGGTACTCTCACCCTGACTGGTGTGGCTCAATGGACTGAGCACCAGCCTGCAAACCAAAGGGTCCCCAGTTTGGTTCCCAGTCAGGGCATGTGCCTGGGTTGCAGTCCAGGTCCCCAGCATGGGGCATGCGAGAGGCAACCACACATTTATGTTTTTCTCCCTCTCTTTTTCCCTCCCTTACTGTATCTCTAAAAATAAGAAAATAAAATATTTTTTAAATGGTACTTCCTAAAAAAATATAGAGTGGAGGCAAGGGTCAAGAGGCTGCTCTCTGCATCCAGTCAGCTCTGGCTTGATCCAAATGTTGATGGATGAAAGTGCTCTGCACTAAAATTGAGAACACCAAAGGTGTTCAATTGGAGGAACATGCTCCATTCTGGACATTACTAAACTTCAAGTGCTTTCAGTTATGCAGGTGGAGGTTCTTAGCTCTATTGTTCTGGAGTTCAGAGAAAAAAATTTGTCCTGGAGGTAGGAAGGTATGAGTCATTGACTTGGGGAGAACGTATAGAATAAGAAGAGAGCCTGAGACTGAGTCTTCATGAACTTCATTATCTGACCCAAACCCAGAATTTTCCAGGCAAAATGCCTTAGGAGTGCAGAAGACACAAAATCAACAATCAGGGAAGCCTTCCCAGAGGAGATATTTTAGTTCTATTTAGTTTAGAGTGTGGGGATGATTTTCAATCATCAGAAAAATCTGCTTTCTCTGAGAGAAGAATTGATTGAGAAATTTCTGTTGTAAATAGCTCAGTATTATTTGGTAATGCTTAAAATGTTTTGTAGTCTTGGCTAAAGACACTAAATAACTGAATTTTTACTTCTTCACCATCTGATGAACTAGGCCTATCCACAAAACCTTGATCTCATAACCCATTTTTAGTAAAACGGTGAGACTAAGCAACTGCAGCATTTTCTTTAAAAATATAGTAGATCTAGCTTCCAGTCAAGGTGGTGGTGTAGGTAAACACAGTACTCAGAAACTTCCACAACTACATCAAAATTACAACTAACTACAGAAGAACCATTATTTAGAACTACCTGAAATATAGATGAACAGAAGTCCTATAACTAAGGTATAAAGAATAAACCACATCAAAACTGGTAAGAGAGACAGAGATGCAGAACAGGCTGGTCCCACACATATATGTGACGGTTAAAAATCATGAGGACTATCTCAGATGCCGAGGTCCTCCCATGGATCCAGCCCCACACCAGAACCCCTAGCCCAGGGTTCCAATGCCAGGAAGAGACATCCCAAAAACTTCTGGCTGTAAGAACCAGCTGGGATTGTAGCTCAGTGAGATAGAGGGCATCTGGAGTCCCAACCTCTTAAAGGGTCTGCACATGGACCTACTCAGTCTCCATTGCTCTGAGTTCCAGCACTGGGGCAGCAGCTTGAAAGGCACCAGGGACATAAGGGAGAAACTGAATTGTCTAGCTTCAGGTCGAAGACTGGGGTGGCAGCTTTCTCCCAAACATAAGTGCTAGCAGAGGCCATCGTTCTTTTGCTAAATATTCCACTCACAAAACTGTCAGGCAGTGCTATATTTGAGTCTCCAACAATCTGGCTAACACTGTACACCCCACCATGGTGATTTCCTGAGACCCTGCCCTACCCAACTTGTGGCCCAACTAAGACCTTTCCAGGGGCTTTCCATACAAACAACCTGTCTTGGCTCATGCTGCTGACTTTCCTAAAAGCTCTCAAACAAGCAACACCTGACCTCTGTGTACCCTGTACTTCTTGATAAGTGGCCTCAGGCCCAGCACTAACAGCAGTTGGCCATGGTTCACAGCTTGGCCTGTCCTGCACAAGTAGCAGCCATCTGCAGGTTGCTTTGTAGCTCATGCTGGGTCGACCCAGACAGAACACAGGTGGCAACTGATCTTGGCCTACATCTCCCAGAAGGTCCCAGAGCCTGTGCACCTGATGAGCAGCTTTGGACTATGTCAAAGTACCACCCAACCACCTCAATGAACAACACACTCCAGGGTACACTCAAGGTACCTGAGTGCTGGTAAAGTGAGTTCTGTTTGATGGGGTAGATCCTGCACTGCTAATTCTCCGCACTGGTTACAGCCAGTTCTCACAGGCCTGGTGGTAAATCTATCCCACTGACATGCCAACAGCAATCAAGGCTCAACTACAATAGCAGAGTATACATAGCCCACGTTGGGGGCTCACCTGGAGCACCCAGATCAGGTGACTGGATAAGCTGCATGATACCTACCACATAAGGCCACTCTTCCAAGCCTAGGAGACATAGCAGCTCAATTTAATACAGACAAACAAACACAGGGATGCTGCCAAAATGAGCAGGCAAAAAAAATGTCCCAAATGAAAGAACAGAACAAAACTCCAGAAAAAGAACTAAACAAAACAGAGGCAAGCAATCTACCAGATGCAGAGTTCAAAACACTGGTTATAAGGATGCTCACCTTAGGGAAAGAATAGAAGGACTTAGTGAGAACTTTAACAAAAGAAACTAGAAAACAAGGAACAAACAACATCCAAAGTGTGTAGAAGGAAGGAAATAATAAAGAACAGAGTGTAAATTAAAGAGTCTTAAAAATACAATAGAAAAAAAATCAATGAAACCAAGAGCTGGTTCTTTTAAAAAAAATAAAGAAATTGAGAACCTTTAGCCAGATTTGTCAAGAAAAAATAGAAAGGGCCAAAATAAATAAAATCAGAAATGAAAGAGGATAAGTGAAAACTGACCCACAGAAATACAAAAGATTATGAGGAAATGCTATGAATGATTGTATTCCAACAAATTGGACAGCCTGGAAAAAATGGATAATTTTCTAGAAACACACCAACTTCCAAGACTGAATTAAGAAGAAAAAGAAAATCTGAAGAGACTGATAAATACTAGCAAAATTAAATCAGTAAGTAATCAGAAAAGTCCCAACAAACGAAAGTCCTGGACCAGATAGCTTCAATGGCAAATTTTACAAAAGCACTCTAAAAAATTGAAGAGGAGGGAAAGCACCCAAACTCATTTTACAAGGTCAGCATTACACTGATACCAAAACCATACAAAGACACTACAAAAAAAAGAAAAAGAAAACTATAGGCCATTATCCCTTATGAACACAGAGGTAGAAATCCTCAACAAAATATTAGCAAACTAAATTCAGCAAAACATTAAAAAGATCACACATTATGATCAAGTAGGATTTATTTCTGGGATGCAAGATTGGTTCCATATTTATGAATCAAGTAACACAAACAAAATGAAGACTAAAAACCATATGATCATATCAATAGATGCAGGGAAAGCATTTGACAAAATCCAATATCAATTTATGCTAAAAAAAACTCTTATCAAAATCAGAATACAGGGAACATTCCTCAACATAGTAAAGGCCATATATACAAACCTACAGCTAACATCATACTCAACAGTGAAATTTTGAAAGATTTCCGTTAAGACCGGGAACAAGACAAAGGTGGTAAAAGACCAAACTATAAGACATTGAAGTAAGAAGTTAAAGAAGATACAAATACATGGAAGAATATATTATGCTCATGAATAGGAAGAATAAACATTGTTAAAATGTCCGTACTACCCAAAGCAATCTACAGATTCAATCCTTATCAAAATACCAGTGGTACTTTTTTACAGAACTAGAACAAGTCATGAATATGGAACTACAAAAGACCTAGAACAGATAAAGCAATGTCAAGATAAAAGAACAAAATTGGAGGTGTAACACTACCTGATATCTAACTATACTATGAAGCTATAGTAATCAAAGCAGCATAATACTGGGGCACCGA